AAGAGAGAGACAGAGAGAGAGAGTGAGCGAGAGACATAGAGAGACAGAGAGAGAGAGACAGAGAGAGACAGAGACAGAGAGAGAGACAGAGAGAGACAGAGAGAGAGAGAGGGGGGGAGGGAGAAAGAGACAGGACTGAGGGAGAAAGATAAAACAAGAGAAAGCTAGCTAGAATGAGAAAGCAACCCATTTCTCCGTAAATCTTATCCTGTTCGTTCCTGTTGGTTTAGGAGAAGGGAGCAGTGGGGGATGAGTCAATCAATGTTGGTGGAGATGAACTGACATTCACGTGAACATAATCCGCGCTAACAGAGGCCTAATCATAAATAGAAAGATTTCGAACTATGTAAAACAGACAACTTTTCAAGTATCACAAAATGATGTACCGTGACCGCACTAGCGTATACAGGCGACAGAAACGTCCGGTTTTTTGAGTAAAGAGAAGCACATCGACGTACTTATGTGAGGCAGCGTGGTGGAATCAGGCTCTCGTCAGTTTTTGGGCATGTAGAGTTATTAGTATCATCTTAAAGCTTGGTCACTTGTCCTTATTTGGATGAAAAAAGTATTCATTTATCTTGAATACAAGTCGAGATATTTGCGAAAGAAGGAGGTGGGGGTCACTTGTTTTCAGAGGTAAAATTTGTGAGAAAATGGCCGCCAAAGATTAGTTATTTCCTTAGCTTAAGAGTCCGTGGTAGCTGAAAATTTACATTTTGTGTACCTTGAATCAACGTTTGTTAGAAAAGTCCACACAGAAATGAATTCTTTAACGGGCAAGAAAGGTGTTGGGCCAAAAAACAAAAATTTGATAAAAATTCACAAACCTACGGCAAAATGCAAGTTTCTTCACTTTGGTTATTTTGACGAGAGCCTGATTCCACCACGCTGCCTCACGTATAACTGTTACATAATAAAGATGTTCAAGATAAATACAGGTGTTTGTGAAGGATCTGAGAGCAATGATGATTTTAGAAAAAATACGACCTACCTCCCGCAAACACCTTGCCCCAAACCGCATTCTAACTGCTAGACTGTTGTGACATGGACCGCAAACCGTGAAAGTACAATAAGTGTGTTTAAGTTTTTAAGTCTGTGTGCGCCATATCTACACCAGGGATGTAATAGTGGCATAGGAAGACCGAAAATGACTTAAAATCGCGTGAAGATGACGTGCCCCAATTGAGGCTGGCGTAACACCAACTCAACGTTGTGCGAGAGTGTGAGGATTGTGAAGTTCCCAGGATGAAGAAAGAGATAGCTTACAAGTACAGAATCAGGGTCCGCTTGAAGAGTCAGCTCCGCATTCTGGGCATTAGACTGTGCCGGCTGTACCGAGGTGAGGGGGCTGGGGTGGACACTTGTCTGATCTGAGCTTCAGACGAATGTCAACTC